TTTTTTTTTGTCAAGGACTGTATGAATGTATTTCTCTACTTTGTTTCACTGTACTATCTATTCTTTGGTCAACATCATGCTGTCTTGATTACTGTCACTTTATATATAAGTCTGACTTCTCTTCTTCAATACTGCATTGGTTATTTGGGGTCTTTTGCCTGTTCATGTAAACTTTAGAATCACTTTGTTGATATCCACAAAATATCTTGCTGGGATTTTGATTGAGATTGTGTTGCATCAGGCATTAAAAAAAATATAACCATGAACATAAAAATACACATATCAACTTTTGGTATATAATTTCTATTAATGGTGAGAAAAGAAACACTAAAGGTTTTGTAAAGTCAGATTGAGACTCAGATCAAGAAATATATGGAGACAATCAACTCATTCTCTCTCTCGCTCTCTCTCTCTCTGTCGTTCTCTCATGCGCACTCTCTCTCTCTTTTTCTCTTACACACACACACACACACACACACACACACACACACACACAACCCCCCCCCCATGCAAATCTCTACTTGCCTGTCTAACCTATGAATCATAAACCTGAAGATGAGCACAAAATCACACATCTTAGTAATCAAGAACTTGGGTAGAAGTGGAGAAGTATATGGATACAGCCACATAATTAGGGAATCCCTTTAAAGCTACAATAAGTAAGTGTGTGGCAATGTGATTATTAGGCATGTGGGTTGAATATCAGGTGCTGCTACTTTGTGTGGATTTACTTTAAATAGGTCAAAAAAGAAAAAGGGCTGATCTCTTAAAGGTTTCTTTTTGTGTTGTTATTTTGATCCTTTCTTTTTCTTGCTGATTTTATTGGCTGTATTTACAGAATGATGTTAAATTAATATTGATGATTATGGGCATTTCTTTCTCAAGCTTGTGTAACTCGTTTTTGCCTCCATCCATACCTGAATTGGTTAAGTTCTTCACATTTGCTAACTTGCCTCACCTGTGATTAGCCACATAGGCCACAAAAGCACAGAGATTCTGCCTTTGCTGACACACCGCTAACCCTTCCAATGTATTCCCCAAAGCAGCTTGCAGATTTCTGTTGCTTTCACTGTCAGATTTCTCTACTAGAAATCCACAATTGTTAAAATTTGTATACAAGTACAAATTGATGTATATCACCTTAATAAGAGGTATTGTGTCTAGTAATTACTCTTTTTTCTCATGTTTATTTTTCTTCACCTTTATGTCTTCATCCCTGGATTTGTGTTTGCACTCTTGGAAAGTGGTTTTACCTCATTATAATTTAAAGGTTCAGGTTCTTATGTGTGAACTGTATCATCTCAGAATGTGAAATCTCAAACTCTTCATTATTTTTCTATTTTTTTCTTCTCCTATTTTAATAAATGTCCTTTTATTTTTTGAAAATCACATCTGTTATATATTTGCTTTCTGTTCCACCTTTGTCTTCTTCTGCCTCTTGGCCTTCTCATTTATACTCATTTTTTTTTCCAGCAGGCTTCAAATGGTTCTCCAGTGAGGTGTTATGTTATTGTCAACTTATTGTCAGATGGTTTAGCAACAGATACACAGGTATAAAGCAGTTGTGTCAATATATACCAGTTGGGGAATATAAATGAAGATATATGGCATTATAGTATTCTTTTGACATTTATATTAGAAAAAACTTTCAGTATAAGAAGTTGAAAATTATTGATAATAACAATAATATAGTAATAAATGGTTTTTATTTAACATCTACTATATATCAGGCATTGTTCCAAGCACTTTAATGTGTATTACCCCATTCGATCCTTATACACACCAACCTAATGAGGTGAATACTCTTATTATCTTCATTTTATAGATCAGGAAAATGAAGCATAGATAAAGTAACTTACCCTGTGTGTCATATAGGTAGTAAGTGACATACTTAAGATTTGAAGTCAGATAATCTGTGCAGGTAATATAAAAATAAATAAGATATAGCCCTGTTTTCAAGGAATTTACATTTTAATTAGAGGTGATACATATACAAATGTCTTTATGTTGTAAAATAAGTTAAGGATCATAAAATACTTGTCTTATCTAGTTGAGGAGATCAGGAAGGAATTTTGGAAGAAATATTCAGTACTAGAAGATGTAAGTTTAGTTTGGATCGCATGGTGGAAGTATTTGAAGTGCAACCTAAGGCATATGAACTTTATTTGATAGGCAGTGGAGAATATTGAAAGTTAAAGAAACTATAGTTCAAAGGTGTTAAGTATTTTCAATAGCTAGTTACTGTCATTGAGAAGTTAAACCTAAGTCTTAGACCAGAGCTGTCTCTTTAACACTAGTTTTTCTAGATGACAATTCTTTGTCCTAGTATTCACTTAGTGATCAAGACTTGTTAATTCCTCCTTTGAAATGTTTTTCATTCATTAATTAGTTTCTTGAATGTGGTTCTTGTTTATGTCAATCTAATATAAGCCTTTAGTCCATACCTGATCTCATGCTGTAGACTGTAGGCCAGTCTCCTTCAGTCTCTTCTCTTGAAGAGGAATTTTCATTCAAAAGGCTAATCAGCTCTTTGTTCTGCTTTTGTAAATACGCTTGTTGCATGGGCTGTCTAAAGACCCACCTTCCCTTTTGTTTGATCTCTCTAAGCAACAAATGTAACTGTACCTCTTAGCAACTCCCTTGCTTTGTAGCACTTTGTAACTGCTGGTAACCCATAGCAACTCCCGCCCTTTGTAACGCAGTGTAACTACCTGCAACCATAGTAACTCCCACCACTTTGTAACAGTCTGAGGACAAATTAACCAATCAGCCCATGCCGAAAAGGGTTCATATAAGGAATGTTACAATTGAGCTGGGGCGGGGCGGAGGCGGCCCAGATCTTTCGAGTGTGAGCTCCTCTGAGACCACAGGCATAATAAACCTGAGTTCTCCAACTCTCTGAGTGCTGCTTGGTTTCTCGCCAGTCTAATTTTGGATCTTTTCTGCAACACTCTTTAATATTTCTTTTACTCTTTTTGGTAAAATAAGAAGTAAACTTTAACTGGGAATTTTTGATGTGACTGCTTCCAGATAATATTAAAATATTGCTTTTTAATGTCATAACTAAAGAAGTTGAGACTGTCACAGATGGAAACTTAAAACAACAACATCATGGTGGTTAAAATCCATGCTCCTTACTCATTCAGTGAAAACAACAGTAACAAAAACAAACAAGCAAACAAACAAAACCAACTGTCTCTGATACAGAGGAAAAGAATATACAGTTTGTGTTCTCATGGAGTTTCTAATTTGGCATGTTTACAAACAAACACAATATATTGTGACAATTAGTATAATAGGGCACAGTATAGGGCTGTATAGGGACATCTGTGGAAGTAGCAAGCCCTGATTTAAGGGATTAAGGAAGCTTTCCCTGAGGAAATGCCAACTAATTTAAGATGAAGAGGAATTATTCCCAAGATCAAGCGTGCAGTGGGGTTCAGGATGGGTAGACTGGCCAAAAGTAGAGTGGTTGAAGACAAGGGTTTGGAGATGAGAGAGATTGTATCATGTTGGCAATCTCAGATAATTTGCAATGGATTAAGAAATCAGCCTGAGGGAGGGATAAAATTGAAGAATAAATTGGATTCAGGCTCTTTGTGACCTCTAAACCATATTTAATAGTCTCCTTGTACCTGAAAAACATGCCTTATATTTTGTGCCATTACTTTTTTTTCTTTTTCTAGAAAGCCTTCAACTTTCATTTCAGTCAAACTCAAACCTCATGCTTTATAGTTCATCCCAAATTCTTCCTACTCAAGAAAATTTCTCAAAGTATGTCAACTTTTTTTCCTCTAAAAACATAACTCTTATTATTTCTGCTATTCATTTGCCAGATGAGTCTATATTTTTGTCTTACTATTTTGTTAACTTTTTATTACTATATATCTCTCACTACTCTGTGTATAGATTGTCCACCTATTTAGTCATGGATGGTATATTTGTACTAATTAATTGATCGGTATTTGAAATTTAATAATTCAACTATATTTTGAAGCAATGAAAGTAAAGCAGTTTTATATGTGAATAAATTAGGGTCTTACCTATGGATCAACAATTTAAAAGTTTTTAAAAATCTTTTTTTGGTGGGGATTAAAAGAAAAATCAGGGCCCGAAATAGTTTCAGAGAAAGATAATCTTGTGAAAATGAAGCTCTTACTGAATATTTGAGAATTTAGAGATTTGGGAATATTTGTTAAAAGCTAGAAAAATTAGTAGAAACCATATTTCTTTTTCAATATGGTTGAAATTTAATGCATTGTGCCTTTTTTGGATTTAATGCATCATAAATTTAACTTTAATCCTGATATATATAACATAGCCGTTATATTGGAGAGAATGCTTTTTCGGTGTTCTTGTCTAAAGAACCAACTAGATAGAGTAGATTTCTAATGCAGTTCGAGATTAGGAAATATGGAGTATATGTATAAGACTTCTATAAAATCTTGTTTAATTTTTATTGGAAAAGATAACTTATCAACAATGTAAAAACAAATGTAGAAATAACAGTTCATTTGTCTTAACTGTCTGCTGGGACTTTTCAAGCAATAAGAGTCCAGGGGTGTGTCCAAACTGGGTATTAACATGGGTAGCATAGTTATGGGGCTAAAAAAAGATGTGAAGTTTAAGAGGCCAATTCAAGTCAAAAGCTAAAAGGTAGGTAATCAGTGCAGAAAAAAGAAAATATGTATAATTTTTTCCAGGCAAGGCCTTTCCCTAGAGTCTTTTGTTTTTATTCATGTTTCTAAGAAATAAGGTTTGTTAAAATAATGTATAAAATATGCAAAAGGGGAGAGTGCAGAAGATAATAGTATTAATATTATCTGGATCTGATCAAATCTTTCAGTAGAAACAAATTAGTGTCCGAGGTAAATAAAAGTCAAAGGCTTTGTGATAATGATAAATGACTTATAATAATCACTGCAATAATTTCATTACCTTTATTTCTTTCTGAAATTGTATTGTGTATCTTTTCCCTCCAACTTCTCCTGCCCTTCTAGAGGCTCTCCCTATAGAGAATCTCCTTTGGGTCATTTTGAAAGCTATGGAGGGACCCCCTTTTTCCAGGCTCAGAAGATGTTTGTAGATGTACCTGAAAATACAGTGATACTGGATGAGATGACCCTCCGGCACATGGTCCAGGATTGCACTGCTGTAAAAACTCAGTTACTTAAACTGAAGCGTCTGCTGCATCAAGTGAGTACATAATGAACATTTTTGGCTCTGATATTTTGAGTTGCAAGATGGATTGATTTTACTTTTTTAAAAAAAGAAAAGTTAATATTTAGATTTCTGTAGAAATAATGCTTGTAAATAGTATATAATAGAAATTTTTGTGGGAGGAAAGAACATGAGATTCTGAATCATGGTCTCAATATAGTCCCCAACATTTATGATATGTGTGATGTTTAATAAGCCAATCTCTCTGCTTCTTTTTCCTCATTTTTGTAGTACCTAAGATTATCTAGAGAACTAGAAATAATAGTTGTAAATTGAGAGATCTAATTCCTGAAACTTAGTGGGCATTCAGTGATCAGTGGCTGTTACTATAATTTCAGCTAAGTGGGAAATAAGAAACAGCATTTTTTTACTTACATAATCATAGTCATAATTTCACTTTTGTATGAAATCCTCAAGTTTAATCTTTGTCAGTTCTTTTTGTTTGAGAAAATGTAGACTCATAGCAATGATGAATCTGGCTTCTAATTCGATAATACTTTGAAGAGTTTAGCTTTAACACTTACAGGCAAGGTCAGATACATAGCAGAAAACTAAGGTATAAAATACTAATTTGAAAACGTGGATATCATTTGTTTATTTTTAAATCTATATTTGTCTTTTGTAGACTAGCCAAATTTAGCTTAAGTTATGATTGAGAAAGAATATTCTGGCTTCTCTGCCCAATTTACATTCTGGGTTATCTTCCCTCAGGGTTGCATGTTTTCGCTTCTTATGAGGAGGAACCAAATCTTAGAATTTCTGGTGGTGATCAAAACCAAACTCATGATATATATACTCATGAGGTAAAGGGTAGTTGAAGTTATTTGGTTATAGATTTTCAGGACAACTCTTCTCCATTCTTGTGGATATTAAACTATGTATTGAAAAGAAACTTTGTTAAGGCTGGGAGCAAGAAAGTGGAGGATCCTTTTTGGATACGAGATTATCGGACTCTTCTTCAGGCAGAAAGAGATTGTATGTTTGAAATAATACAGATATCAAGCTTACAATTTAGTTTAACTATAACTAGGAAATAGACTGGTTTATAGTATTTCTCCCCTTACCAGACTGGAGAGAAGCTTTTCTGATCAGGAACTCCAGGTCAAAGGATAGAGAAGGTAGAGGTGAGAAATAGCTAAAATATATTAAATATCTTTGAGTCAGTCACTGGGCTATACCACATACCCTCTTTTGTGTCTGAGTTTATTGCCCTGAAACATGAAGCAGGATTAAATATTAGCTAATAAGACCAGACCACTTCGAGTAATGAGAGAAGTAGCATAATTCAGTAGAGAATAAGTGAATTAGTAACCAGTGATAAGTACCATAAATTAGAAAACTATTTTTTGAGATACTTTATGAAAAACTGAATCTCTTAATGTCTTTCAGTCATTATGATCTCTGAAAGTACTATACACTGATCAAATTGACTTTGTTTATATAGTGACAACAGAGTTATGAGAAGAAAATTGCAAAATCTTTTTAGGACAGCTTTAAAATTTCCCGGAATGCTAATAGATGTTAAAAGCTTAATGAATCCAAGATTTCATGTCACTGCCTCTTAATTTTTTTCCTTTTTAATATTACTAAAATTTAAAAAGTTTAGTGTGATACATGGTTTAAAAAAATTCACATACTATCCAGAGGCTTAATGAAAAAATAATATTTCTGTCCCTCTCCTCACCTCCAGCCAATCTTTGCTCATCTGAATAGGTTGCTGTCTGAAGCTTTGCTAGAGCTGTTGTGTAGGAACTTCTTTTTGTTTTATTCTGGGATTGGGTCCACTTATTTCCTGGATAACATATCTTTTTGTTTAGGTTTACTCTCTCGTTTTGCTAGGGTATATCCTTAATTCACTCCCTAAGAGAGGACAAATAGATGTTAAATTTTTGTAGCTACTGCATTACTGAAAATTTCTCTTGTCTATTCTCATTTGATTGATATTAATAATTTGACTGGCATGGAAGTGAGTTTTTCCTTAATATCTGAATGCATTACTTTTTTAGGATCCAGTTTAGCCATTGAGAAAAGTCTGCATTCTGATCCATTTTACTTTGAATTTTCTTTGTTTTTAATCTCTTCGGGAGATTTTTTTCATCTTTTATTTCTATCACTTTAATTTTTATTTCTGGCATTCCGAAGTTCACAGGCATGTGCTGGGATTTGAGTTTTGTTGTAGTTATTTGTTTTCCACTTAATGTATGGGTAAATAGTGGGCTCTTTGGAGAGTCATGTAGTGTGAAATTTTCTTAAGTAATTTCTATAGTTTTTTTTTTCTTTTTTTTTCTATATCTTTCTAGTATTCTTGGTAATCATAATCCAGAATTTCCGAATTGTTTCTCAGTCTTTTATTTTTTCTTTCAGATTTTCTTTTAAGTTTGATTACGTTTCCTAGTATATTTCCTCAGCTTCATATTCCAGCTCTCTGTTTCTGTTGAATTACTTGGTAATCATATTTTCAATTTCCAAGAACTCTTTATTGTATACCATTCCTTATTCGTATCATTCAATTCTTGTTTTGCCAGTAACTATATTAAGTAAATAGTTTCTGTTACGTTTTGTTAAGATTTTTCAGGTTTCCTGCATTATCTCTTTCTAAAAATGGTCATTTTTGTTCTTTATGTTTATTTTGTTTTCTCTTTTAGAATCTTCACATATCTAGTGATTCTTTGTTGTTTATTAATATTTAGGAGTAAGTAACTGAAAAGTCGATTCAGCACTCTACATGAGCTAGCTTATCAATCGGCTGGTTTTATTTTACAGCAGCGGTCCCCAACATTTTTGGCACTAGGGACCGGTGCTTCTATGAGAATCTAATGCCTGATGATCTGAGGTCGAGCTGAGGCGGTGATGCTAGCACTGGGGAGTGGCTGCAAATAGAGAGGAAGCTTCACTCACTCACCTGTTGCTTACCTCCTGCTGTGCAGTCTGGTTCCTAACAGGCCACAGACAGGTACCAGTCCACAGCCCAGGAGTTGGGGACCCCTGTTTTACAGTAATTGATGGATGTTGATGGATGCTCAGTACTTATACTAAGTGAAGGATTTTTCCTTCTGAGGTTGTTGTAGTTTCTCCAGAGAAGAAACCTCTTGACTTTTTCTTTTTTTGTTTGAAATAGAGGTAGAAGACTGGGAGTCTGTTCTTGCCTTATGCAGACTTCTTTCTAAGCAATTCCCACATTTTTTACCCTAATAAGTCATATACTTAGTTTTTTATGTATCTAGCATTTTGACCCCCTTTGGGGTTTTGCAGGACAAACTTTGTCCATGTTCTCCGTCTACGCACACTTCAGTTGTGTCTTCCACTAGTCCTGCTAAATCTCTTATTAAAGTTTTTGTCTGCTATGTCCCCTCCTTAATTGTCTTCATCATTAACAGTTTATATGCTTTTAAAATTTCTTTACTATCATTTTAGTATAGATTTAAGAGTAAGAGAAGATAAACATATCTCTATTCAAAAGATCTCCCATTTAAAATGTGGAAGAAATATTTTAAAAATTACTTTAGTTATGTGAATGCTTCTTCATGAAACTTCAGTGTGTCACAGCTCAAAATTTGATTTTATCCTTGCACACAACTAAGTTGAAATTTTATACTCATTTGCAAACATAAGAACTTAAATAAGCACTGGCGACCAGTATCTGCTTGAGGCTACACATGAGGGATCTTATAGGGAGGAGTTATCTTTACTTCAATAAACGTGAAGCCCTATTAAGATATGACTGAATACTAGGTAAGAAAGAAGAATGTCCACATAGAAAGTAGTTACGTAATCTCTTTTGTTCTCTTACCTTGATGTTCTCTCCTCCAAGTGGCTTACCCCAAGGCAGTATTCCTTAAACTCACCTAGAATTCTTGTCCTTGATTATTTTTAGCCAAGTTTAGTTAAGCTATTTCTCTTATAAGATTGAATTAAATTTATATAAATAAAGAGAAGCGACTGATGAAATTATAAATAGCATAAAAATGATTTCTGCACCCTGATTCTTACTGGAACATCAGAATTTTATAGAACTCATGAGAACTTTACATATAAATATACAAAATTTCTAATACCTAGTACTTAGGAAATGTATGTTAAATTGATTTTAAGCAAACAATTTTGCAAGTACCTTACCTGCCTTAGTTGCTGATTATCTCTTAATCCAGTGGCCTTTAATTGCTCTCTTCGTTTTCTTGATCCCTAGGACCCAGTCAAGAAGCCCTGCTTGATAAGGATAAATGAGAAACCACTTTTGCATTTTCTGAGACTTCCCCTTAGTGTCTGTTACCAGTTTGAAGAAATTACCTTTGGAATCAGTCTGGGTTTTCCAGAGAAAAAGAAAACACACGCATGCACACACACACACACACACACACACACACACACACACACACACACACACGAGGGAGAGAGACAGACACAGAGACACAGAGAGAGACAGAGACAGACAGACACCATATACCTCTTTCTCAAATTTTCTTGTCACCAATTTTTCAATCATGTTTCTTCTAGGCCCCTAACCATCCAGTCAAACCATTGACCACAACTCATGAATTGATATATAACTGCACATCTGTCCATTTTTCTTTGTAAGCAGAATGAACAACTAGATGCACTGTGGAGTGTTTCGCCCACTGGGAGGATTTCCTTTCATTGCTGTTCTTCCACTGCTATTCTTCCTTACAGAAAGGAACTGTAGTCTTGCAGCCGTCTACTTTCAGGTGTCTGCGTGTTGTTCAGAACCATCTGTAAACTGGACCTGAGTCTTTTCTTCCTCTGTTATCTGATCATAGGGAACTCTCTCCAATGAGACCATAGTGCAGGCTGGGAGAAGAAGACAGTGTAGTGGAAGTGGAGACCATAGGCATTTGAGCTATTCATCATATATCTTAATTATATTTTCAGAGCCTTCTTGGGCCAAATCACATTGATTCCACTTGCATTTGATGGTGAAATGTTGCTCTGCACACCTAATATTATGGCTTTATGTGTCAGATAACACCCAGTTCATGATGGGCAGTTCAGTATTGGTAACTGGGTGGCCCAAGTAAGCATTTAGTCACCTCTGAGACCCAGTAGCAGGCCAGGAGCTGTCTCAAAAAGAGAGTAGGTATCTGCAGAGGATGGTAGCGCTTTGCTCCCGAGAGCCTGCACTGAGATTCACCTATAAAGCTTGCTAAAATCTCCAGTTAGCGTCCTTCTCTGCCACTGCCACTTCAAATACAATGGGAGTTGCTGCATCATATGACCCAAGTGGCAGAGGAACTGAACCTTTTGTTGAGCCTTCTAAGCCTTCAGAAGTAGCAGCTATTCAGCTCACTAGGTAAATGGGCCAGAATAACACACCTAAATGAGGAATATGTTGCCTCCAAAATTTAAAGGGGCCCACTAGGCTTTGTACTTCTTTGTGTTTGGAAGATCCAGATACAGCAACTTATCCTACACCTTAGAAGAGATATCTCAATATGTCCATGTTCCCTACTCGTTCCGTTTCTACAAACAGTTGTTTATATTTTGTTTTGTGTCCCCTACAAACAGTTGTTTATATTCCTTTTTATGTTTGTGGCAGTAATGGTAAATTGATGATTAGACAGTGCTGTTCAAAGTAGCTTATACATGAAATGTTTGTTATTGGTTCATGAGAGTTAAAGTAGCTCTTGTCAGAATAGAAATCAACATTTTTCACTCTTGTGCCACAAATTCTTACCACCAAAGAAAAAAACTGAGCCAAACTAAACTGTTTTGTGACTAGTTGATTGATAGTCTAATGCAAACTTTTATTGTGTTGCAGACAGGAAACAGTTTGTGAACCAGAACTAATCTGTGAGTAACACTGGTGTTACTGTTCTTAACCTGTAAAAGACAAGTCCAAAGAACAGAAAAGATATACAACCAAATATTATATCAGAGGTACCTGTATGTAGTATGCAAGAGAGAAAAAATTGCTCTGGGAATGGAGTTGAAGAAATTTGCTGTATGCCATTATAGAGAAGATATGAAACTGGAAGTTGAGTTTATCAAGTAAAGAATTTTGAAAAGATCGGGGAAATCAGTATGAGCAAAGGTGTAGGTTCTTAAAGTGTGAGCTGCACTTCTCACAGTGACTAAAGGAAAACTCATGAGCATCTAAAATATTCAGAGAGAAAGCCAGAAAAACCAGTGCTCATTTGATACACTTTGAGGTGATTATTAATACAGCTTCTTACCTTACAAAAACTTATTAATAGGAAAGAAGCATTTTAGTTGCATTTATAATAGTATCGATATTTTCATAACTGAAGAGGCCCTTGAAAAAAGATAATTCAACTTTGCTGAAGAATGACAACAAATTGTAGAAAGTGTGATAGAATTAGAGAAATGTCATATTAAAAACCCTGATGAAATTTCTGCTTTATGCCAGGATTATTAATTGTTGTTACAACCAATAGATGATTGGGCGGTGGGTTCCCAGACAGTTCATACAGTGCCAAAGTCACACCATTTAAATTACTTTATAGTTGCAAGAGAAAAAAACACATAATTGTTCATTAGAGAGATCAAACTGTCATTACCCTAATCCAGTGATCAGTTTTCCTATCACTAATGAGTTGCGGTAGCCAGGTACTAAGTATCTTCTGATGTGATACAGGGAATAATGTATATTATACATAATTATATATTATACACAGAATTATGTATAATATGTTCTAGCCAAAAACATTTATTTTTAATTCCTCAGATGATTACTTATAGCTTCCTTTTTACAGGATAAACAGATGAGAGAAGAATAAGAGAAGAAGAAAAGAAACCACATAAATTTAGATTATTGGAAATTCTGTATGACAAATAGTGACGCTCTTTAGCTTGTTAGTGTCCTAAAAAGTTGGCGCGGGGAAGTGACAGTGCTACATTAAAAAGAAATATAGGAACAGCTAGATGTAATGTGAGATTCTGAATTGGATATTGGTTGGACAGATCAACTACAGAGGACATTTTGGGTCAATTGTGGAAATTTGAATATGGCCTATGTATTAGGTGATATAGAAATTTACTGAAATGGAAAGACAGAGACTGTTGACTGAAGAAAGCAGTTTATAAAACAGTGTATACATTATGATCACATATCTTTTTTTAATTAAGTTTATTGGGATAACATTGGTTAATACAATTATATAATTTTCAGGTGTACATTATAATTTGACATCTGTATATTCTATTGTGTGTTTAGCACCCAAAGTCCAGTTTCTTTCAGCTACTATATATTTGATCCCCTTTACCTACTTCAGGTATCTTTTTTAAAAGTTAAATTTATTGAGGTGACATTGGTTAATAAAATTATATAGGTTTCAAGTGTACAATTCTATAATACATCATCTGCATATTACATTGTGTGTTCACCGCCCAGAGTCAAATCTTCCGTCACCATATATTTGACTCCCTTTACCCTTTTCTACCTCCCTCTCACCCTCTTTTCCTACTGGTAACCATTATAATGTTGTCTGTGTCTGTGAATTTTTGTTTGTTTGTTCATTTGTTGCTTTCAGTTTTATATTCCACATATGAGTAAAATCATATGGTTCTTGACTTTTTCTCTGACTTATTTCGCTTAGCATGATCATAGGTCTTTATAGTTATTTTATGTATCAATATCTCCAGAAAGATATGCACTAAGGTGTTAATAGTGATGATATCTAGATGGTGAGAATGTGATGTCTTTTTTTAATTTACATTCTCTAATTTCTAATTTTCTACAATATATATTTACTGTTTTGGAAAAAATTAAAGGTTTTTAAAAAAGTACATGTCCTATTCAAAGATTGGTTAATAATTGGATATGGTTAAAACGTTGGGTGTTAGAGAATAGTCAGGAATGATACATAGGCTTACGGGCAGATTACAAAAGGCCTCCATGCTACAAGAGGAGCTTGGGAATTATTCTGTAGGCAGTAGTAAGCCAGATAAGTGACATGGTCAAATTGACCAAATTCATGTTTTAAAAATATCGCTTGAAGGGATTTGGGGAAAATGAATAGCAGAGGGAATGACTTAAGTAGTAATGTTAAGGAGGCTGTTGCAGACATCAGATTTTAGCCTGAAGTTGTTGAATTTAATTGCTTTGAAAATAATTGAATTTTAGTGCTCTCTTTTCATGCATGTGTTTTGCAGAGTTGCGTATGTAAAACTTTGATATAGTGGTCATACATTGCATACTGGGCATTTTTCTAGGTTCTCTAATACACATTACCTCTAGTCCTTGAAAAGTAGATAATGGCTTCACCTATCTCATAGTTGAAGAAGTTGAGGCTCAGAAAGCTAGAGATAAAACAAGGACTTTTTACTCCATTCTTTGTCACTCCAAAGCCTTTTGTACAGTGTGGTGTTCTAGGGGATACACTGAGGGACAAGAGGGAGAGGGGAATGTGAAGGCAGCCTTTAGCACTCTCCTTACACCATCAGCCTATATCCCTTCAGACAAACCTAGAGCAATGGAATCTTTATTTTATTAAATAAGCCTCTATTTAAGAGTTCCCTTGAACAGAGTTTTCATTGCACACAATAAAAATTTTAATTGTAAGCCATTTGGCCTTTGACCTATTTTTTTGTTTTTGTTAGGCATAGCTCAAGGTTACTTCACAGTTTAAATAGCACTTTCATGTACTGTATTTTCTTCACAGCAATACTATGGGATAGAGAGGACAGCAGTAATCCTATTTTAATAATCAGAAAAGTGAGACGCCAAGATTTAATTGCATTTCTCCAGGTCGTCCAGTTGCATACTAGTGCAGTATGTATTTTAAACCCAGGGCTCTTGAAATATTTTAACTTAATACCTCTTTAACCCATTTCCTATTCGCCCCAAGTATACTCTCTGGCAGTGCTTGCAGCTGCAGCATTTACCCCCGAGGTAACTTGCAGATTACAGTCCTAACCTTATCCCCAAAGTTTGCCACAAAATATCTCACTTTTATTATTATTTTTGCATCACTTTAGTATAGCGATAGTCTTTGGAAACAAGTGACATCATTCTATTCATAGCATTCTGTTTTTAATAGTGGTATTTCCATTTACAAAATACAGTAATTCTCAAATTGCTGAAATTGTCAAATCCTAGGAAACATAGCCTTCCTACACATGATGTTAAATGAACACTGGCAGCAGGCTGCATTATTTTCTAAATGCGAAAAGGGTTGAATTTTTAAAAAAAATTTTTCAGTTACAGTTGACATACAGTATTATATTAGTTTCAGGTGTACAACATAGTGATTAGACATTTGTATAATGTACAGTGATTATCCCAATGGTATCTAGTACCCATCTGACACCATATGTAGATATTACATTATTATTGATTACATTCCCTATGCTGTAAGTTTAGTACTTCTTATATTGTATTGTTTAATTTAGAGAATTTTAAATAAGAACTTTGATCCTGATTTGAAGAACATGGGGACATATAGAAAAAATATTTTTTTTTGTGGTATTTTGTGTCCTTACTTTAATTCCCTACATCTTATTTTAAACATTTGAAGCATAATATGCATATAGAAAAAGAATCATTCATAAATTTCTATCTCAGTGAACTTTTAAAAACTGAAAATACACTTAGCCAGCACCCAGTAAGAAATAGAACATTACCAAAACTCCAGAACAGAAGCTTCTTCTAGTCACCACCTCACATTTCTAATGGTGACTACCTGATTTCTGAAAACATAAATGTGTTTGCCTGTGTTTGAACTTTATGTAAATGAAATTATATATACTCTTTTTTAATTTGGCTTCTTTTGCTCAACATCGTATTTGTGAGCCGTCTAATTTTTGCATTCATTCTCATTGCCGTAATAAGTATTACATGATGTGAATATACCACAATTTACTTCATTTGTTCTATAGTTGATAGGCATTTAGGCAATTTCCAGTATTTGGTTGTTATGAATAGTGCTGCTACAGTATTCTAGTATATTTTTTTTGTGAACATATGTGTGTATTTTTGTTGCTATGTACCTGTGAGTAGAATAGCTGGGTCATAAGATGTATAGATATTCAGCTTTAGTAGATATTGCATAATAGTTTTCCAAAGTGATCATGCCCATCTATTTTCTTCCCTCATTTCTTTTCATTATTTTCCCTGTTCATTTTTATCATGTTATCACATTCAGTATCTATTTTGACCTTGGAGTAGGAAATGAAAAATCTAAGATAGAATAAATAATGAGAAGGGCATGATGATATCTCTTTCTGACATTTTCTTTGAGATTAAAAAATATTTGATCCCAATAATTCATGCACTGTCAACCTGTTTGCAGATAAAAATAAAGTATATAATAGTGTTTAAAGAACTTCTAAGTCTGGTGTACAAATATTTTATTTCCTCTTGCCTCTAGTGTTAAGAATACAACCAATAATTTTCCCTCATATAATTCTCTCTCGTCCCTCTCTCCTCTCTTTATATGTGTGTATGTGTGTATGTGTGTAGTGGTGAGTGGATGAAATATTTAAAACATAGCAACAGCATCTGGGTGAGTGCACTGAGAGTTAAGAAGCTATTGAATGATTGTCACTGGTGGCAGAGAACCATAGAAAAGTCAGGGAACTTATGCTTCTTGTATCCCCAGACTTTTCTCATCACTCAAGGGGGGAAAAAAGTGTATGAAACATACCATAGAGCACATACAACAGAAGGGTACAATTTAATGAATAATGTTCCCATCCAGGTTAAGAAATAGGACGTTAAGAAGCTCCCTATATTCTCCTTCCTGGCTGCAGTGCATTCCCTTTCCAGAATCTAGCATTTTCCTTTTTTTCTCTGTTTTTAACCACCTATGTTTGTATCCCTATAAATACTTGTTTTGCTTATTTTAGAACTTTATGGAAATGAAATTACATAAGTATTTCTCTGTGACTTCTTTCATTCAGCATTTAAGGTTCATTCATATTTATGTTTAGTTCAACTTCATTAACTTTCATTTTTGTATTCTTTTGTGTGAAAAACAATAATTTCTTTGTTCATTTTATTCTTGATGTCCACTTGATTTCTATTCAGAGTTTTTTGTTTGTTTGTTTGTTTGTTTGTTGCTATAACAAATAATATTGATATGAACATTGTCCGGGTACACATGTGCAGAGATTCTTCTGGTGTAACTAATTAGGAGTGGAATTTATGAATCATGAGGCATGGGAATATTCTACTTTAGAAATACCAAACTATTTTCCAAAATTATTTAATCTGTTTTACTCCTCTCAAGTAGTAGGTGTTATTTTCCATTGTCCCACATCTGTGCAACATTTGATATTATCCAGCTTCTAAATTTTTGTCATGTGATGAGAATATGGTCATATTTAATTGCAGCTATATTCTGTATTCCTTTACAAAACTTCAGTAATAAAGTTGAGCTTCTCTGTATGTTTATGGAATGTTTGTTGCCTGGTCATGTCTTTTGTCTGTGTTTGCGCACACACATGCATGTTTTTATCTTTGTGTGATTTAGAGTTTTGTATATTCTAGAAGTAAGAATTTTGCTAGTTGTATGTGTTGCAAATTTCTTCTGTGGCCTACGTTTTACTGTATGGTGTGATATCCTTTGTTCTTTTAGAAAATCTTGTTTAGGAAATCCTTCCTTGGTCTTTGGTCACAAAAGTAATCTTTTTTTAAAAGTTAGGAGTTTAGACCTTTACAATTAAATTACAAATACCTCAAAATTGACTTTGCTATATGTAAGGTGTGAGATAGAGATCTGCTTTCTTTTTTTCCATGTGAATAATCTGTGGGTTCAGTACTAAAAGTATTAAAAGTGTGTTTCTTCTCTGATATGCAGTGCCTGCCCTTAAAAAAAAACCAGATGCCCTTTTATGCTTCACTATCCCAGTGCCAAGTTATATAATCTGTTGCTTTTATATTAAGATTTGATAATATATCATGGTGTTCCCGATCTTGTTCTTCTAAAGTATCTTAACTATTCTTAGTCTTTTGCTTTTTTCATAAAATGTTAGAATCTTTTTATTGAGTCCAATGAAAAACTCTTTTGGGATTTTAAATGGAAAAGCATTGAAGCAATAGAACAATTTCAGGAAAAATTAACATCTTAGAATATTTAGAATTAATATCCAAAATGTGATATATTGATTTAGTTTAAATAAACTACTTTTTCCCTTAAATGCCTTGTATAATTTTGTTAGATATATTTCTAGGATTTA